CTCTAGCGCTGATGTTGTCATAAAAAGTGATTGATTGGTTGGCTGGTTGATTGATTGGTTGGTTGATATGTTGATTGGTTGGTTGATATGTTGATTGGTTGATTGGTCGGTTGGTTGATTGGTTGGCTGGTTGGTCGGTTGGTTGGTTGATTGATTAATTTGTTTGGTCATTCATTAAAACATTCACTCATTCATTTGTTCGTTCGTTTATTTATTTGTTCGATCAAACTTCATTTTTTAGCATCTTCCATTCCTTACCGAAACATTCACCCATCCATCTATCCAACCAATAATTCGCCCATCTATCAATTCATTCATCAATTCATTCATCAATCCATCTATTTATTCATTCCTCAGTTGATTGATTGATCGATATTGGCTAGTGGACGCTTGATAGAGTGAAAAAATAAATTAATTAAATAAACTGTTAGAGAGAGAGAGAGAGAGAGAGAGAGAGAGAGAGAGAGAGAGAGAGAGAGAGAGAGAGAGACTATAATAATTATTATGCAATTTATGGTCACATATATCGGTATTAGTTTTTCATATTATTTAATGTTTAATTGAATTCAAATTCAGTTGAATTAAAAAATTTAATTTGGTATAGTTGTCTAATTGTTGAAATGCTTCATTAATTAATTAATTAATTGTGTTTTTATAATTTAACTTTCACGGCAATCTTTCACTAATTTGCAAAAAAATTTTGTAAGAATTAATTTCTTTTATTATTTGAAGGTTTTATTTTTAGCTTACGATTTTACAATTATGACACGGTAAAATTCCAAGAAATACACAAACACACACATACATTTACACACAGACACACACACATTTACACACAGACACAAAACGATATATGTGTATTTATTAATTTATTATTTAAAAAAATTATGCATTAGATGTTGCTAAAAAACCAAATTTTATTCAATAATCAATCATTCATTCATCCATTCGTTCGTTTGTTAGATCGTTCATTCATTCATTGTTCATTCGTTCATTCATTTAATCATTCATTGTTCGTTTGTTCATTCATTGTTCATTCGTTTGTTCATTTGATGTTTTTTGTCATCTACTTGTTCTTGCTTCCGAAGTAAATCTTAACCAAATTATTAACTTTCCATATATTTGAAAAATATTTTTTAATCTGAGATTTTAATTCCTTCATTGAATGATTGATGGAATGAATGAACGAATGATTTAATGAACAAACAAACAAACGAACGATTGATTAAACGAACCAATAAATCAATAAAAGAACGAACGTTAAAACTAAAAAACAAAATGATGATTGAATGAATGAATAATGATTGAACAAACAAACAAATGAACAAACGAACGAATGAACAAACGAACGAATGAACAAACGAACGAATGAACAAACGAACGAACAAATGAATGAATGATAATTGAATAAATGAACAAAACTTTTAATTAAAATTTCAATAATAATAATGCGACATTAACATAAATCACAGCAATGATAGTGCTAATTGCGTCCCTGACAACAAAATAAGCGCTAGATAATTTTTTCTGTTGCTAATAGCAACGATTTGTTAGGATTACTTTTAAAAGTAAACTTAAAGCTACTTTTTGTTCTTCAAATTAGTGTTTTTGGTAATTAAAGTATCGAAGTTAGTGTTTTTAAAGTCATTTAAATGTTTTAAATGTGTCATATATATATATATATATCATTCATTTGTTAATTCCTCATTCATTCATTAATTCGTTTGTTCATTCATTCATTCATCCAATCATTTATTTTTTATTAATGATTAATTAATTCATTCATTTTGCTCGTTCGTTCATTCGTTCGTTTATTCATTCATTCAGCCATCCATCCATCCATCTATCCAACAAACCATGTGATATGCGGTCGAACCCGGTTTCTTAGAAACAACTCTTTGACAAATCGCCACATCACATAAAATTATAAATTTAGTATCTATAAATACTCTGCAATGAATTAAGAATTGATGAATGAATGAATGAAAGAAGGAACGAATGAATGAATGAATGAATGAATGAATGAATGAATGAATGAACAAATTAATGAATATATAGTATTTTACCTCTGTTTTAAATTTACTTTTAAAGGAAAATGGTAAAGAAATCAGACAAACCAGCCTCAAAATCCACATCCAGGTTATCTAACCACGAAGAACTCGGTGCAGACAACAACATTAAAGAAGGTTATTGAGATTAATTTTAAATTTATTTATTTAATATATTATTTTAAAAATATAATCATAGTTATCGTAAATTTTGTCATGTCTTCTTAATACTTTACTAAGAAGACATGACAAAATTTCTAAGATTCCATTCTCTCTCTCTTTCTCTTTCCTTTCTCTCTTTCTCGTTCATTCTCTTTCTCTCTCTTTCTCAAA